CTCGGATTGGGACAAAAGTGGCCAAAATTTCAGTGGATTGCAGTTGGGGCTTTGAAAAGTGTTCAGTCAAACAGCTTTTCAAAGTTTATCACTGCATAGCTCTTTTTAACTTTGAACCAATTTTGCTTGAAATAACAAGACATTAAAGTTATCGAGACTCGATACATTTAGTTTTCGAAACTTGGCCAATAAATATGATTACCTATCAGGTGAACTATCATAATATAACAATAAAATATAATACATAACTAAAAACTAGTAATGATATACTTTAAAGAAAAAATATCGCACCCTGTTTTTAAATGAAGTGGGAAAAATGACGGCCAAACATAGTAAATTTCTGCTGGTAAAGAGACCTTAAAAGGACCAAGAATGCTATATTCCGGCCTCGCGAGCTAAACACATTAAAAATATGGTAAATGGAATCTAACTAAAAGAAAAGCTTTTACAGGTTCCCGAAAAGGAAAAGGGCAATTGACCATAATTCTATTTTCAAAACGTATCGGCCCACACAAATGAAACTGGTAACAATTGACTATTTTACGCTTCGAAATTAAGTCAGCAATTAGGTTTAGATGCGAAGATAATAGCCAATTGAATGAAAGTGATCTTTCCTGAAAAATACGTATGAAATCCTCTGGATTTCAAAATTTTTCTGGTGGGCACGCCCCAAAGGCCTCTCTTGCGGCTCACGCCCGTTCGGCCACAGCAGATCTTGCCTACCTTATGTCGAAAGTCTGGCTACGGCCCTGTAACTTAGCTGCATGGAAGCCGGTATCCTTCTCGATACCAAGGTGCGTGAAATTTTGAGTTGGATTTTGAACTTTTCGGAACTTTCAACTCTCGTCGGACCGTGACGGTACGGAAAGCGTAAGAACCACCTGCTGGGCGGAAAAACCGATCGAATCTTTGATCTTTTATCGGAAGTGAAAAGGACAAACTTTCGCAAGAAAATGTCATTCGGATCAGTCATTCGTAATTATTTTCTAGAATAACTGACATGAATTTCATAAATGTGATGAGATATTCGAGACGCCACTGATCCGTGATATTTTTGTGTTTGTTAACTCTCCCACTTCAAATCGCAGTCCGGCCACCTGCAGCCGGGCCGTAAAAAAACAGGTTTCAATAAACACGGGAGTGCAAAAAAATGGGCAAATTCCTGGCATTTTCATCGCTAGATTTACCGTTCCATAACATCAAATCTTACCTTGAAAAATTCAAATTATTCAATAAGAAAAACGAACTTTAAATCTGTCATTCCCAGTGGCCACTAAAACGAAAGATTCCGAACTTCATATTGCAAAAAGAATTAAACAATAAACATCACTATGGTTAAGTATTATTTGACAGTTGTCATTCTGTCAGTGGGCACGCGTAATATGCTTTTGGACGATCACTATGAAGCTAAGAATAGCTTGACTAATGGAAATTAGGGATTTACTGAATAAAGAGGAGATAAATGTGAGAATAAAACCTAATAGGCCGCCGTGGTTATAGAAGGCAGCTGGCATCCATAAGCTACATGCTCGAGGACCCGCTGTTTTAGTTCACTGACTTGCTGCCGCAGTGCATTGGCTACGGCATTAAGTTCAATATTTTTATCTTTTAACTGTTGCACTCTTACTTCAAGCTGAGCTTCTCTTTCAAGCTTTTTCTTTCTACACTTTGACGCAGCTACTCTATTTTTCTGTTTCTTGCGTTCCCTCTTGACGATCTCCTGAAGTTCTAGATCGATGGGAGGTAACGGTAGAATGTTCCCTTGCGGTTTCAACGTCTCTTCGTAGTCAAAATTCCCGGACTCCCCCATGGGGCCATTGCAGGACACTGGTGGCGTATTCGACTCGTGATTTTCAAACGCTGCTACCCCGGCAAAACCGGGATTTCTCATCTCATAGGAAGTCTCGTTAAGCGCAACTTGACTGTGAAAGTTATTATGAGTGTTATCCTGTTCGACCCAGCCATTATTGACACCAGAAGGAGCGGGTATCGCATTCTGCTTATGAAAATGTTCGACTGGTTGTTGTCGGTCGTGTATTTGCTGAAGAGCTTCAGCGAAACCCTGGACATAAGCCTCGTGTTGCTGTTTTACTGTATTACTACCTTCGCGTACAGCTTTCGTACAAGTCGGTGACTTGGGATTCTGAACGCTGGCCAGAATTTTCTCAAACTCTGGTGAAATCAGATTAAACAGAGTGAATTCCGGTGAATTAAGAGTCCCTGGATTTCCTTTTGGCGTTAGCCCTGTGTTGCTCGCAATAAACTTCTCCAACTCAGGAGAAACCATCTTAAAAAGCGTCAACTCGGGTGAATTCTCAGCGTAAATGCCCAGTTTGCCGTTTCCCCTGAGATCTTGAACCACCGAAGGCAGTTGGGTTCCGTCCAAGTTCAGCCTTAGTGAGTTCTTATCATATCGCGAGAGATTGTTCACCGGTACGGAGGTTTGTTCGTAAAACAAGACATCCATGTTGTCGCAGCTTCCTAAAACGTGCTCACCCATTCTAGGAATTCTTTGGCCGTGTCTTTATGTGTTAGATAATCCGAAATAAACGTAACTCTTCGCCAACAGAAGCCGCTATGGTCGACCATCATCTAATTTTTCTGAAATTAAGTCACCCTTCCTACCAAAACATTACGTCACCTGGCAAGCCGCTCATTGGTCCGCAAAGTTTTCGCGCCAAAAACTCTAACGGTTGACGCGGGATAACTTTTTCAACAGACGCGACAGAAAAACGAGGCTTACGTTCACGCGTCTTCAATGTTCCACTTTAAAAAAGTAGGAGGTTGGAAGTTAAAGGCGCACTTTTAAAGCCTTATATTGTTTGTGATGATTATCCCGGTTGATAAACACGGAGTAACATACCGAGTGTTTCATTTGTGTCCACCTGTATGGCACCCGCTAAAGGGTCAAAAGACACAGGAAACATACCAGGGTCTAAAAGTATATTGGTAACAAACCATGCGATAATAATCATGTTTTCTCGGTGTCACACCGAGCAGAAACTAAAACAACGACAAACAAATAATGGCAAACCTGGTGGTTAGAGTAAACTTAATTTGCCAGGTTTGTTAATACGTTTGTGGACTTCACCACCAACCAGGATCTCGAAGACATGTTTATCTATCTATCGGTTACTAACCAACAAGCAACTTTAATAACAAAACCCACCCTAGCATAGACAACAAATTCAAAATGAAGTACATCGATTTTATTGGTTCATTTTTTCTAACAAAACTATTGTTTTTCAAATAATTTCACAACGTCAAAATTTGTTGAACGGTTCATTAATGATTTTTTCTTTTTCGATCTTTCTTTCTTTCTTTTGGATGATTTATGTTTTTAGCTAAAGACTTACATCTTTGGTTTGACCAACCAAAAATCGTAAATATGAACAGATCCTACCTCATTTCATTAACAACACATATGTCTCTAGATATATTAGAAATATTTCCTTCAGTACTGTCGTATAAAATTTTTGCATCTCCGATCTAAAACTTCAGTCTGTCTTTCTGACAATGTTAACCCTTAAAGTCCCAAGAGAGATTAACATCAATTTTCACCCAATAATATCAATACTTGCTCAGGAATTATGTTATGAAAGTTAATAAGTAATGGTAACAGGACTGAGTGGAGTCCAATTCGGTCTGTAATCATACGAGTGATTGACAAAATCGGACGACCGCGTAGCGGGAGTCCGATTTGATTAATCACGAGTATGATTACAGACCGAATGGACGACACCAAGTTCTGTTACCAATTAATCATAACTTTAACAAAATTTGTGATATATAGGGCTCTTTTTTAAATCAAAACACAAGAAATTCCAAGATTTTTTCGCTAGCAATGAAAAAAAAAAGCCATTTAAGCGCGCGCGTGATGGCGCGTACTGTCCAATTACTTAGGCATGACGCGTACTGTCCAATAAAACTGTCCAATTAAGGCTGAAATCAGGGCAGTTGAGAACCAATCAGATTTGAGAATTTTGTTATAGTTATGATTAAACTAATAATCACCCGACGGAAACCGCTTTGATATTCAAACAAATTCTCTCAACCAATTATTAAAGGAAATGTATGGAGATCAGTCTGGAGAATTTGTATGTGGATATTGGGGCTTGAAGGGTTAAAATGATCAGTCGTCTCGGACGACAAATTCAAAGAGGTAATGTTATTCTGTTGATAAGAATCTACTACAAGTGAACTTATTGTCATTAAACAGCTCTATCTTCGTTCACAAATGTTTTGCATCTGTCACGCGAGAAGCACTCCTTCCAACATTTGTGCCTCTCGCCAGCGTTTCAAATCACATTAATATATAAAAATAGCCCATTGCAACATTGAGGGATGCTAAAACATAAATTTCAATGTAAGATTAAAGAGTGCTGGGCAATACACCTCTTTAATTCATAATGGCTCCTATTAATATATCCTTTCATATGTATGATAATTAGCCTTTCTGACCTCGTTTGAAAGTAAGAATTCTTTAGTATTTTGCACGTGCTAACGAGGTCAGAAAAGCTAATTATTATACATATAAAAGAATATAAGAATATAATAATAAGTCGCCATTATGAAAGAGGTCTTTAGGCACTCGACAAAAAAAAGCTTACAGTTTACCCGAAAGAACACCTTAGTTCACTTTCCAGAAGTCGTTGATTATTATGATGACACGCAGCAAGCAGTAACATGACAGTCAAAAGGTTGTCATAGAAACTGCACAAGATGATTGACAGGTCTACAGGGGCTTTAGGCTATGTTCACACTATACTGGAAAGCTTTTGCGTCGGCACGAAAACCATACCTGATAGGGCTTCTGTTCACCCGGGGGGTACTCCCGCGAATTTTGGGTAGGGGAGTGCCGCGAAGGTTCGTGAACCCTAACCCTATTTAAGGACTAAGAAAGCGAAAACTGATACCCTTTTTAAGGCCGAAAGCCGAAAAATGAAACCCTATTCAAGGAAAAAAACAAAATTATTAATAGCATGAAAAGGAAAACTTTATTTCTTCTCTGTAACATTCGAGGTATAGCATCAAGCATAAAATACTAGAATAAGCCTAGTTTAAAAAAAAAATGTTCGTTTAGGCGGGCGTTTTCACACTCCAGTATAAGATAATGCAATTAAGCTACCCTATCTAAGGACCACACCAGGGACACAGAAACAAAAGGGTCAAAAATGATACCCTATTTAAGGACAGAGAACCTCAAAAACCATACCCTATTCCGCGGCACGTACCTATATAGCCCATATATGGGAGTACCCCCCACCCCCGGGTCTAATCACAACATAAGAACGGTGATTTTGGCGCAATTACCGTAACGGCGCAGCTGATCTTTTACGCGGAGGGTCACATATCGGATAGGGGTTCACAGAGTAGCAGATAGCTTTTCGTGTCAGCACGAAAACCAAACCGGATAAGGTGAACATAGCCTTAAGGGCTAAATAGTGTTGTTCTATATTTTGTTTGTTTTAAAGGTGAATATTAATTCCCCGTAAGATTATTTTCCGCAATACCTCCAACACACGGTGGTTTACCTTTGGACGCCTTTGAGAGTAGCTGACGATACAAAGAAACTGAACCACTTGAGAAGTCTTTGCTACATATTGTAATACATGGCAGGAATTAAGCTTCCACTAATCCTTGGACATTTTTTTCTAAGGTCATCAATTTTTTGCGCATGGCCCGGGAGACAATTTTCCGCTGGCACTCCTTGCTCGTTTTGCAGCACATTGAACCAGTTGCATAAGCTTACATTGGTTTTACGGTTGGTCCCATACGTCAGTAGCACACAACTACACCGGGTCGATAACCGATGTTAGTTTTCCTCTCAAAACAACCTTTCCATTACTCAAACGAAGACCACTATCCCCTGCACTAAACGACGTTAATTTTGATCGGCGGCGAAAACGTCCATGTCTTCTTTAACGAAGCATAAGGGCTGTCATTCGCTAGGTTTGCCATATTTGATTCCAAATAACGAGTTCGCTCCATTACATTAGATACTGAGTCTTTTGAATCCGCTCGCTCGTCAGAGATTCGAGTACAAGAAATAGAAACCATATACTGCCCAGCATACAAGAACACCAATGAACAAGAGTGACATAGAGAAGATCCTGGCGATAACTAAGGATAACGAAATACAGCCAAGCGTTGGTCAGTTGCGTTGAATGATACCGTAAACTGCCTTTTTTTCCGCCTCGCGACTTATAACACCCAACCACCCTTCCCCCACCCGGCCCCATCCAACCCAAAATTAATTTTAGGCCAATCTACCTGGAAACAAAGAAAAATTACCCATGATGCAGATGATACTTATTTGGCAGCCTTGACAAATTCTAGCGCTTATGGGACCCTCTGGTCAAGCGAATGCGTATTGGGAAAAACAGGCGGACGGTATAGTTTGCATTTAAGCAGGTCTATCATTCGACCGGCAAACTTCTAAAGACAGCAAGTACATACGATAATAGACCCCATCACCCCAGGATACAAGCCCCCTCCAAATGTACTGAAATCAAATTTATTTATTATGACGTTTTGTAGCTTGATTAAAAACTAGTAAATGCAAAAACATATATTTTAACCAGCACTACTATAGCTTTCTTCGAAGAGCTTTTTCTATTCCGGTTATATGCCCCCTTCGGATATAAGCTCTTCCAAAAACCCTTACGAACATGTTTAAGCCAAGGGTTTATAAGAAACAGTTTACGGTAGTAGGGAACCCTTCTCTGAAAACGCCAGTCTAAAATTTTAGTAGTTATGGGGTAAAAAATTGGGGCAATAAAACGTGCAACTTGTTTTGCAACGTCACTGCAAAACGAGTTGAAAAGAGGTTTTGCTGGTTTTACCACCACGAATTAAGTTGTAGCACGTTACAAAAAGTTGTTGCAGAAAGTAGAGAGTAGTTGTACTTTTCGCAACACCCCTGTGCGAATGATGCAAAACAAGTTGAACTTTATGTTGCTTGTTTTACCGTGGCTAAAGTAAGAAAGACTGCAACAGATGTAAAAAGAATTAAAACTGTACCTCGGACGTGTGGAGCTGTAACGTCCCAATCCAGCTCAATTTTTCATCCAGCTCGGTCACTGGAAAGCCAGAGGCTTGGTCCTGATATGGCTCAATGGTAAGCAACAACGGTCCAAGTGACTCATCTGCGTGATAACAGAGTAGAAAACAAACAGGATAGGTCATTAAAACCTTCCAAACCTAACCCTGAGCCTGTAAACAAGCTCTGCGGAACGCTCCCGTACCCCCTCATATGTCGTCCTCGCTATCAGACCGGGAGGGGGAGGGGGGTGAGGGGGTGTTTGGAACCCCACTCAGGAAAAAGGTAAACGATTTCTAAACCGTTCAAACTGTGACTACCAAACATAGCGACTTTTCCTAAAAAAATATGTGAGAATATTTCAAAGTCTCTGTGACGTGTACGTTAACAATGACGTTACCATAGCAACAGAGTTTGACAGCCATGTTTTTTTCAAAATGTTTCAGTCCTGTAAAATACGTTGGCTTTGTGCATTCTTATATTACACTTCATTTAGTATTTTTTCTTTAGCTTTATGATAACTGCTTTTGTAATACAGGCTACCTGAAGTGACTAATTTGGAAAAACCATGAATTAGGCACGCATTATAGATCACAAGTACCTAAAAAATGTGCGCAAATCCTAAGAAAATTAATTCTACAGCTTATAACTCACCGCTTTTATTAGAGACTATAACACTGAGATCCACAATACTACACAAAGAACTCGTCACTTCGTTTGGCCATGTGTTGTCGTATTCTTGTCCGTTTATCTTTACATCTTCAAAAGATTAGAAAAAAAATCGTTATTTAAAAAGAGGAACCTGCCTTTCAAAGGTCATGTCGCTACATGGCAACCCAACGCAACAACCTTTCGGTTGCTAGAATAGATTTAGATGCGCTTGACCTTCAGCGAAGGGAAGCCGTCCATTAAGTGTGACACAACTGATATTTATCTGGCAGCCTTGACAAACTCTTGCAATTGTGGGACCCTCTGACCAATGCGCATGCGCATTGGGAAACACAAGTGGACGGTGTAGTATGGGTTAGGGTGTCTATGGTTCGACCGGCTAACTTCTAAACACAATTACTTTCTGACAAAAAAGGGGAAAAATGTAACTATAAAGAACAAAACAAAAGAAATTTTTATCAAGTTGCATACCATTATCTTTACTTTCTGTCATCACTACAACTGTTCTCAAAATACTGCTGGACTACTATTTCATTACTTTTAAATTGATAAACATACGTTTTAACGCTTCTCCAAATTATGTTAATAGTTGATGATTTAGCCCATTTATGGATAAAGTGGTCAAAAGCATTGGGACTCTAAAAGAAAGATATCAAATGATTCTTCATAAGGGAGAACGAAACCTAATAATTTTTCGACAACACATGTACATTGAAGGCCTAAGTCTTGCACTGACAGTTATGGTATGGTACAGACAGAGTGCTTTTGAATAAAACAGGACCATTATTTCAGGGTTTTCTGTTATTACAACGTGCTTCTAGGGTTAAGAAAAAAATACAAAAAAACGTGACCTAGCCCCTTCAAGAGCATGCCTTTAGGTTGATCGAGCCGCGTATTGAATGATCCCGAGATCTCAGTTGTGCTCTGCTAGTCACCTTCGTAATGATCCCCGTGGGGAGGAAAGCCGACTAAAGCAGACTACTAGTGCCCTACTAGCCATGCGGCTTGATGTAACTAAAGCGCTATACTCTGGGGGGACCTCTTGCTTACCAAACGTAATGGGATCAGGCATCAAGGCTTGTATCATGATGGCGTCTAGCTTCAGATTGTCCACATTACCGGTACCTGATGCTCGACAAGCCGGCTGAGGCCACGTTAAGGATGTTACAGAAGATTTACATTCCTAACTTCTGATAGAGGGGTTAGTCTATAAAGAAATTGCGGTGCTTGAGTGCGAAGGGGGGCAACACATCAAGATGGTCTGTTTGTTTGTTTGTTTGTTTGTTTCCTAGTTTATTTGAAGTCTTTAAAGTCGATAGCGTAAAGCGCTTTTCAAAAAATTTAACCATGGACTTCATTTCCACCTAAGCAAACGGTAAGTGTTTCATGTAAAGACCACGCTAACCGTTTGCTAAGAAGCAGAAGAGAGATTAAGGATCGTCAATCCTGGATTTGTACCACGTGGCCAAGGTCTTTCACTGTACACTTTAACTACACGAAAATCGGTAGATTCACGCCAATTCTATCCATAAGAATTGTTTTAAGCTGTTTTTATTTGCTCGTTTCTCATTTTGAAGATTTCTCAACTTGACTCTCACGTTTGCTGTTTGCCGCAAACGCAATGCTTAATCTCTATAGGGATTCGCGCAAAAGAGAACGTTCGCCATCTTTAGATTGAGGAATACGCTTGCGGTTGCTACTGGTTTGGTATACTACGCTTTACTATTGGTAACACCTATCGCCTTGCTTACTATTTTTCTAAATCCCCAGTCTAAAGGAGTAGGAGACAAATTTTAAATTGAACAGTTCTTATGTTTAAAAACATGTTTCCACAGCTTTACAGTAATCTTCAGTTTAGAATTATGTAAACACAAAGTTGGATTTATAATAAGCACATAGCATGCTAACAAGGAAGCAAACTTAAACAACATAATAAACGTGAAAATGTATCCCATTGGATATGAATAGTTTCCTTTATCTAGAGTTGAAAAAAAGTAGTTAAGGAAACCGTTCCTAAACGCAGCAAAAGGATACAAGGCTCCAATGAAGTTTCACTTTGTCACGCACGAATCTTTTGCATTCCGCTCCTCTCCTCGTCTTGAAATCCTTTGAATCCTTTACAAATAAAAGTTGATGTATTAATATGCTTAAGTGAAAAGCGTCATACCTATTTCCTAACTCTGTAGTATAATAAAGAACCTACAACCCGGTCAAAAAAACTTGAGACACTTCCGATTTTTTGAGCATGCAAAGAGTAGTACCTTCGCCCCTTTGCAGTGTTGTTAAAAGGTGCAATTTGAAGGCTTGAGCAATTTTCAACTTTGTGAGGGGAAAGGATGGGGAAATCGACCAAGTGTCCCAATTACTTTGTCCGGGTTTGGAACCCCGGTCAGAATAACTTGGAACACTTCCACTTTTGGGGGGCACGCACTGAGCAGTCTCCTCGTCCCTTTTCAGAGTTGTTAAAAGGTGAAATTTGAAAAAGCTTGCGCGATTTTCAACTTTGTGAATAGGCAGGTGGGGGGAAAAAAGTCTCCTTGTAGTTTGGTAGTTAGACAAGTCCCGCCTTTGATCTAAGAGTTTCCCATTTGACCCGCTAGCGTGTCATAATGAACACTCTATCTATCTATCAGCCTGACCTGTTGCTTTGATTCCTCTGAAACTGGTAAGGCAACCCTTGGTAGATTCATGGTCACCCTGGAGAAAAAAAACGAAAGCAAGTTAGAACGCAGTGACACACGAAACCATGTGCGCGACTTGAAAAAAAAATAAATGGCAAGGTGTGCCATCTGCACTGTCGAGCGGAACAAACTTAGAAAAACAATTGAAGATATACTGCTTCAGATTTCCGCGCCACAATTTCAAAGTGCGTTCACACTATGCACTGTTACTGATCTACTACTCAGTCTTTCAAAATTGCTTCCTATTCGATCCAAGACCTGGCGCGCTCCCTTTAAGAAAAAGAATTGGCGAAGATTAAATAAACTTACCTATTTTTGTCATTTCCTTGGATATTCATAACCTCATCTGTGGACAAGAAGAGATGGCAATTGAGTAATATCACCTTATTTAGGATCAATGCTAAACACGGCGCTTACAGTGTTCAATCCGGAAATTAGTCGAAGTGGGTCATATGTCCCACATTGCATTTGAAATTGTGTCATTTCAAAAATGGTCTGGGTCAAAATATGATATTGAGACTTCGAACAACTGACATCATCCTAACTATCACAAGTATATAGTAGTTTTTACGCTTTTCACAGTTTTGATTCCTTTATCATAGTAAACGGTCAAATAGCATCAACATAGAGGCTGGCAATGCAGGTGGTACAGCTGTATGAAATCGCAAAGGTGAAACGTTATTTAAAAAAAACACTGACCAATTCTGAATTAAAGGTGACAAAATAACAATAAAAACACGATCAAACAACTTAACTGCCCTTCTCTTTGCGTAAAGAAATGAACTTGGATTTTGTTGTCATTTCATAATGAAGCGAAAACACAACTATCACATTGTTCGATATACCTTGAGGCACCTCAAGGCCCACCCCCTCGCCGAAAAAGCAGCATTGCCTTCAATTTCTTTAGGCACAATACCCAGGAGCGACAGGGTCTTTGTAGCTAGCCATTCACGTGGTACAAAACCGCCATGCTGGAGAGGAAAAGTCGCACTGGGACAAGACAAACAAAGGAAATTACCATTTAACATTATGAATGCCTTTTGTTTGTCTTGTCCCAGTGCGACTTTAGCTCCCAAGCACGGCGATTTTGTACTACGTGAATGGCTAGCTGCAAAGGGCCTATTGGAAACAATGGTCGTGCAATTTTTCTTTTGGGCAGTGGGCAATGGGAATGGGCGGAATGCATGGGCAAAGGAGAAAACGCTCAATGTTTCGCTGCTTGTTGAAGTCCAACTATGTCTAACTATGCGAATCAAATGGCACTATGACTGGTGGCGAAAGCGTATTGGCTAAGGAGTTTCAGAGTTGAAGAGTGTTCAATTCATCTTACCACACGATTGATCACTGCCACTTTGCACTGAATAAGAAAGCTCCATGTCATTAGAAGTTTTATTGACGGCGTCAAACATCAGTAAGCAATGACACCTGTCACTGAAAGAGGAAAAAATGCTAAAGTTTAAATCGGTGAGGCATTGATTAAAAAAAATCTAATTTGTTTACGCACCAAGGACTAAGGAGTTCTTGCAGATCGAATTGGAATTTGAAATTGTTGCTTTTTTAGGAGATGGAAAACCGGATTAACTGGAGAAAAACCTTTCGGAGCAAAGGAGAGAGCCAACAACAAGCTCAACCCACATAATGATAAATATTGCGTTGACGCCGGGATTTGAACCGAGCCACATTGCAGGGAGGCGAATGCTCTCACCACTGCGCCACCCACGTGCTCCTGATAGAGTGGTTAACCGTTTTCGCGTTTGATTTAATAAACTCTTCAACTCTTAGATTTAGTTATGGACTCATAATGTAGTTCTTAACATTTTCCTTTATGTACGATCCACACTGCGAAACCAAGCCTGTCTAAAAAGGACACAATTCAGTCTATTCAAAGAAATAGGAAAATAAAAAAGATGGGCATGTTATATTATTATTCATGTCCCCTCTTATAACCAAAATAAATAAAAGTACCTTGGAAGCTCAATGATCTGAAAGTTCTCACACAGCAAGCTGGGAACCACAGTCACATCAATCGCCATGGTAGCCTTACGAGACATTTTATTTCCGGTAACTCCTGACGCGTACCGGAAAAGAATAGTTCCCGTCAATCCCCAGGGCGCTTCGGGGTCGTAGCTTAGCTTCTCATTGCTCTCGATACCTTGTGGGATATGAGGAGTCCCTGTTATTGTGACCGTTATGTCAGTGGTATCACCCGGGACAACTGGGAGCTTGGAAACAATTTCCTTATCGTCAAAGCTGAAGAGTTCATTAGCACCTGACAAAAACCAACACGAACGAATCTGTCAGTTGAGGAAATGAAAGTCGTCTTCTGTCCATGTTATGAAATATGAAGTCATATTTTGTCATATGACTACCTACACGTAAACAGAAAGATGCCTCTGTAGAGTAGTACGCCGCGCGGCGCCATTTTTTGTTAGGGTGCAAGTGATGATTTAAACTATCCTCTCTCTCTAGAACCCTCTCCTTCCTATTTTTTCTTCTTTTTTTATTGTTTATTTTAAATTTCCGTTACTTTCGTTTTTAAGGCGATAAATAGAGAAGTGAGTTGAGATCATTAAGGTGTTCCAACACGGATTACCACCTTCCGGCTAAACCTTCCTCAATCTAAGCTGTTACCCCAGCGCTGATTATGATATTAAGTAAGCAAATCACAGTTGTGTAAATCCTGTATCAATGGGGTGGTGTGGGGCACTTACCCTCTCCCTCCTTGCTACTGATAGTAATATTAAGTGAATCCACTGGTAACCTCCCAATATTTTCCAGTGTAATGGTTCCTTTCATGCTGTATTTAGAAAATTGAACAGACAAAACATAGTTGTACATACTAGAAATAATACATTCTAAGGAAGCCTCACACACGTGTATTCAATAATGAAAATGTTCCACCTTAGCTTGCTACAGTATTTATGACGGTGACGCCAAAGACAACATCGCTAAAAGAAAAAATGCTTTCGCGTCGTTTCAAAACTTTTGCGACTATTTTTGAAGTAGTCCAGCTACACCATAGAAATCAGGTTGGTGAGGGAATCACGCCCGAGCTCTGATAGTTATGCCTTGCTCGGCGTTGAAGTTTTCAAGAACACAAAAAAAATTGACCTTTTCACGTCTTAGCCCCGTTTATATGAAGAATCGTCGTCCCCTGCTCAGCCTAGTCAACTTTAGAGAGCGTTGATATGAGAAAAGGGAGTTGACCCCTTTGCTCGAGCCAACAGCGCCCTCGCATGCTCTGATCGTCTAAAATAGCACTGTCGCATGCTCTGATTGGCTCGTATTGAGCGAGTTGACCCAGCTGGGCAAGCCAAAATGTTTATAGAGTATGATCCACCCACGGGTCATCCTTCTAAACGAACCAACTTTTTGTTTATCATGTAAACGGTTTGCTTCGCCACGTTTTCGACCGTTTTGTAAGGAAATATATGGAAAGTAGGCTTGCTAGGGTGACGCTTCATGTAAACAGGGCTTTTGTAGTTCAGGAACGGGAAAGAAAAACGTGATGTACGTGCAGAGTTGAACTTGTTTTTCTCGCTTAACCTATTACTGATTTTCAGCTGATGTCACGGTGGCCATGCTGGTGGACAAGAAAAAAATTTTTTTTTCCTAGGCTGGGAACTAAACTTTTTGTTTTACTACAAACTCACCTTTGCCCAGCATAAAGCGTGACAGCAGTGACCAGGGTTGCAGCCGACTGAGGCGAGTCAGGATCAGGGGGCTGCGACCGAACCTTGGGTAGCCCGGTGGACACCTGTAGGAGCGGCATGGCTGGAACTACATCAACTATCACTGGAAAGGCATGTTTGTTTTCCAGGTTTTCCTCTGTCAGCTTACAAGTACTTTCTACTCCGAATACAGTCACATTGTAACCTAGAGAGAGATAGTAATGGCTTTAAATGACCGGCTACCGGGGCGCGTAAATGTCTAGTCAATAAGACAGCGTTGTTTGGTGACAATGGAATTTCTGTCTATTAGCATTCCAAATAGTTTATAAACCGAGTCTAATATCTATAAAACAAGCCCCTAGCTTATGTGTCTCCTTTAAAGTGGAATGACCGTCCGATTAACGCCGCATCATCTAAGTGCGCACAAATGTTGACACATTACCACAACGTCTACAGAGCACATGTCAGTTTGGCTCTAAAAATGCTTCGTACAGTCTTGAACTTTCACAAAAGTCATAAACTTTATAATTTTGGGAAACGACGCTAGTCTGTTTCAGGCGTTCAGATAGTGGGAAGCAGTGCGAATTAAAGAAAGCGATAAAAAGTAGAGGGAGACTGGGGAGACCTCTCCCCCCTCGCGCTCCTTTTAACTTCGCACCACACCCAGCCAACTGAACGCTTGGAACAGGCTAAGACGACACCTACAAGCAATAATATCCCACGTTCGATAAATTAAAACTCTAACATGACTCTGAGGCTTTCTGGTCATTTTCCTATATTTGGTTTGGTTTTCTTTGTGCTCAGTCCTCTTCTGGGAATTTCGAAACAAAGGAGTCGTGAAAAATTTGCAATTTTCATCCTAAAGCCTTGGAGTCCTGTTAGAATTTTAATATATCGAACGTGGGCTATTACTCAAACGCCAGGCGATAGCCTGCGTGACAGGCAATCGAAAGGGAAGGGGAAAGGAATTTGGGCGCAAGACGGCGCGAGGGAGAAGGGCCTCTCTCTCGCGCTAAGAATCCCCTTTCCCTTTCCTTTCAAACGCCTGCTACGCTGGCTAGCTGGAAGAGAACTGTGCGAATTTGACAAATGAATAAATACATAAATAAATAAACGAGAGACGATGGCGAAGCCTTTTTCGCCTTCTACCGAATTTTGGTTTGGAAAAATCTAACTTCTTTTTGTTCTACGAAATTGTAGGCTTTAACTTTCGAGTTCAGTCAGATGAATGGCTATAGCTGTTTTTGTAAACCCACTAACCAGTGATTCTCAGTTGACCGGCTGACTGCGGAATTCCAAGTAGAATAACTGTATGAGGACCAGTCTTGGCTGGAAGGGACAAACATGTTGGGTAGGGTTCAAATTCACAACCTTCTACACACAGAACCTACAAAGGAAAAAATAGTTTATTTATTTAGAGGAACTGCAAGTCAAACGTTAGTTGATATGATGTGGCCATCTGTACATGGAGTTATCAGTGAAAAATGCTACCAGCGATAAATTTCATAGATCAGGGCACTCGTATGTCACTGTATAATTCCCATAATCTACCCATCTAGAGAGTCACGGAACTGCAGCTGGGGATTAATGGGCCAAAAAGCGGAGCTCCCAGGACCGTTAGAGGCGTTTACAAAGCAGCAAAGTCATTACAGGTCAAAGAAGGTAGCAAAGAAAATTTTTGGCAGGCGTGGTAAAATCAGAATAGCCAGGAGCCTATTCTCTAGTAGCTATGGGACATGTCCAGCCCAATTGGCCGCTCTAAACATTACTCTCTAAAGAAAGGCACACATATTAATGTTATTTTTGTTCTTAAACCCCGAGCAAACGGACGCAACATTGTTGGTCAAAAACTCCCACATTGTTGGATGTTACATGCTGCGTCCGTTTGCACACCCGTGTCGTTGGAAGTTGTTACGCAAAGTTTAAAAAAGGGCAAACATTTGTTCTGCTCCGTGATCGGCAAAGCGTAGCGCAACAATGTTATTTCCGTTTGTACAGCTCTTCCAACATTGTTAGGGCCACGCACGCGAATTACACATGGTCTTTAAAGCCTTATGGGTTGTATCCTTCCCACGACGCACTGCAGCTTCCAAAATTGATGGGATTAGTTGCATCTGCTTGCACGTAGCTTTAGCTTTGTGCCAATGGTTTTTACTTCTTACCATTTTAGAGACTTTGAGTTCAAATGGCATTGGGTTGAAAACATCAAGAGAAACTTGACCGATATCGCCACATACCCAAGTTACATCTGTGAATTAAACAATTGTCCTTTATTAGCCAACTTATTCAAAAGCACTCTGAGAAATGGAAGAGCAAGATAAACTCTGGAGGGACGAACGTATCTTATATTATAGGCTTTTTAACTGTTTACGTATAATTGTGGTAACCCATTGCAAAATGAAACAAGCGATGGAACAGAGAACAAAATTTCAAAAGGCGAATTAGAGTGCCACAGATAACCTACAAACCCCAAAGAATGAGCATTAGCACTAGTGAAGAAGGAACCACGCGAGGCAAATAATAAATTTTTCAATCTCAATTGGGATCAAATCCACGGCAGGATTAGATTTACTGTTGCAAATCGTCCGTGACATCTTTCCGTCTCGCCTGGTACCTCAGTCGGCAGAGGAAGAGCAGATATAATCTGGAGGTCGTGGGTTCGATCCCCACTGAGGTTCAAAGATTTTTGTCACCGCCTCACGTAATTCCCTGACTCCAGGGCTAACCCTTAATTGCGTTGTCTGATCGTGGGTATGGATATCATACCTGCGCTTCTGCAACCTCAATTACACTGACAATGTTAGGATGGAGTCTAACGTAAATAGCCCTGTTTACCTTACGCATAGTTATTAAAGTGGAATGGTTGGGAAACCCTTTGTTATATGTTTTTGTTACCTTTTTTGGACCTGACCGTGCACAACATTCAGTGCCATTCCTATCATTTTGAACTTACTGACCAATAGAAACATCGCATTAATTTATTCAGTCATAATTTGTGAACAAAAAACAAAGGATTGTGCACGGTCACGGAGCTTCCAACATAAACTACAGCACCCTTGTTTTCAACTTTGATGTTTGCTGAGTTTCCGAACCAGTCTCCTCTACTAACTGTGCCCTACGAGGGTACCAAACAGGTTTTCAGTCCTTACACATAACTTCATCCCAACCTGATAACATAAGGATATCAGCTAAAATAGCTGCCGACTGAGGTCTGCCTTTCACAGAGTTGCAAAATGGGATGTTCCGTTGGGATTTATTATCCACGATCACTCGGATCATGGTGTATCAAAGGAAACGACACATACTTTTCCAGAAGGAATACAGCGGTTCCTTTGATGTACCATGATTTGAGTGACCTTGATCATGAATCATGACCCGGATCATCCTATACGACCGAGGCCGAAATCAGATGTGTTAACCCTACAGTGGCTACAACAATTAACTGTAGTCTTAGCAACTTTGTTCCTTCAATCCATTCGACTTCCCTTGTTGGCCTTACTTTTAGCCGCCTAAAAATCACGGGATTGTAAAATGGGGTGTTCCGTTGGGATTTATTATCCACGATCACTCGGATCATGGTGTATCAAAGGAAACGACACATACTTTTCCAGAAGGAATACGGCGGTTCCTTTGATGTACCATGATTCGAGTGACCATGATCATGAATCATGAGCCGGATCATCCTATACGACCGCGGCCGAAATGAGATGTGTTAACCCTACAGTGGCTACAACAATTAACTGTTGTCTTAGCAAATTTGTTCCTTCAATCCATTCGACTTCCCTTTTTTGGCCTTACTTTTAGCCGCCTTTGTCTGTTTTACATTCCGTCTCAGAGATGAAAATATAAACGGTCCTGAAGAGCCAGCATCAGAGCTCGTAAGAGACTTCTTTCCAACTGGTTTCAAATGAGTGGCTAAAGGTTGAACTTTGAAGGATCTGTGGAAGGTAAATTATGCCACATTTTTTAATACGAATCTTTATGCACTGAATATGCGCACTGCGAGTTGCCATCAAGCTTCGGTTAACGACCAAACGTTTTCGTCCACCATAATGTTTGCATAAAGTAGCTTTAAAAATTGGTGATACCTTCTCTAGTTGGCTACCTTTCATAAGGAGGAACAATTGGGCTCTATTGTTGGACCCTTGCTATTTACAATTTTTCCTCAATGAGTTGCTCCAACCAACTCTGATATCAATTTTTATGTTGACGAAACAGCAGAGCCTTTTCCCCGTGGACTGAAACCAATTACAATGCAGACCTCTCAATGGGGCAATTTAGCTCTAGCATCTGAATGGTTTCAAGCTAAGAAAAGCCAGGAAGGGGTTGATACCAAAGGTCAGCAGATCTCACCTAACTACAGGCATTTTAGTCAGTGACAAGGAAGCCAAGTCTAGCATCTCAACTCTGTTGTTCTCTTTCTCTTTAGGTGAGCCCGCAGTAAATCTAGCTGGACTGTCCAGAAGTACTGACAGCTCTCTCCTCTCCTCGTCACTCAGATGATCATGCATCGTGTGGAGTAAGAAAGTCACATGCCTGAAGAAAGGAACACAGTACATACCTGTGAGGGTGGTAATCAGTCTTATTATACATGTAGTTATGACTACATCTGCAAGTCCAGTGGGCAAGATGAAGTGAATCTTGTGTTCTCATTGGCTACTTGAGCGGGCAAGATCGGCCCTTCTTGCATTGGTCCCACAAGAAAAAAGTTCTCTTTTTGACATAATAAATCCTTTAATGAGCAAGCGTGAGTTCAAGATGGCTGTCCAGATATACCGTAAATAACCTAATAACGCCCAGGGCGGCTACTGAATTTTAGGGCTCCAAGTGGGGACGTTTAATATATACGAGGGGTTTATAACCATAACAGCAATAAGCTCAATGCTTTCGGCAAAAATATCAAGAGAGTTTAAAAATAGTGGAATATCCACTTCATCAAAATTCATCAATTGATACGTCTAAGCCATCTATAAATCCATATTGCTCTTTCAAATCCCAACATCGATATCCGAATCCTCGCTCAGGGTTACTGTGTTGCCATCGCTAATCTCTATATCCTTACTTTGAACTTGACATTAGCAAGATGAAGTATGCAAAGCTTTGTTAATCAGACAAGAAACTGAAGGAATTGATTTATTTTGCTCCTTTCTGCTAATTCCTAGTATTTTGGAGTAAGTCTCAGAGGGGGCGTTCGTTTATTAGAGAGAGCATCTAATACAATTTGAACAGCGTAGAGGGGGCGTTTATTAGGTAAGAGGCGTTTATTTGGAAGTGAGCAATTATTTGGTCATTTACGGTATGCCTTGTTCTTTTTTGTGTTCTTATGGACCAAGAGAGAAGAACTTGGCCACTGTCCAGCTTTTTTACCTTATGATTGGTCAATAATGTAAAGTGATCTAGCCCAAAGTTGTATTTAAGCTGTTCACCTACATGGTGATGCACTAGGCACCTTGGAATGCTCAAAAATTTTCTCTATTTTTAGCATTAAAGAATGAAAATACACATTTTAAAAGTGCCTCCAAGGCGCTGTGCCAATTTATGCTCACTGAATTGTTTTTATTTGCTACATGTATGCAGCCAAATAATAGCTGTAAATTACTCTCAGGGAGTGTGATTTCATGCAAACTGTCCCTAAAAAAAATGTAGCCTTACTCTACTTGCTACATGTATCCACATGTGTGGGCTGTGTACATTGTATATGAAGTGAAGTAGCCAATAAAATATGAAATATTCAGGATTTAAATTGATACATCAACCTGAAGGTTTGTTTTTTTATATAATCATTATACAAACACGGCTCATACCTTACTGTCAAAGAAGGATCTCCTATTCGACGAGCAGTATAAATAAGTTCATTCAAGAGTCTTGTTTGAAGAGCAGGCCAACCATCTGGATGACCTTCAGAAGAAAAATTAATTTAGTCATCGTTTTAAATACAACACTATAAAGAATTAACAATCATGAGTCCTTGCTACAACAAGTATTTGCTCAGTGGGAAAAAGGGGAAAGGTTTTCCTCTAAAAATGGTCATTGGGAAACTGTACGTAACCTGTCTGCTGAAACCTTAGCCCGCATGGATCATTATACGTTTTTGGGAAACAGCCCACCTACCCCTCCCCTAAGCCAACATTTTGCCCTGAGTGAGAAGTAAGTTTTAATGTTGGCTTAAGGGAGGGGTGGGTGGGAAGTTTCCCAGAAATGTATCATGATCCGCCTGCATGGTAGGCAATCGAAAAGGAAGCGGAATGGGCATGATTTGTCAACAATGGAGAAGGGGGGGAACTTCCCTCTCCCTCATGCACCCTTTGCACTTCTTGCATGCACAAAATCCTTTACAACAGGTTTCATTTCAATCCATTGCAATAGAGACCATACTCACTTTAAAATGAACCCTGAACCCCCCCCCACCCCCCACACCCCCACAATTTTTTTCAGTGCTATCCATTTTCTGGCCTGCCAAAAAGGAAAATAAGGGGGAGGGGATAGAGACACTACACTACAGGCTTACAGGGCTCATGTTTCTGAGATCCATCACATGCAATTCACCATGTTTCTGATGACCTCAAGCTTCTGTTTTTATGTTCTTCATTACAAACTATATCTATCTCCTGCTATGATAAGCACAGACGGCAAGAACTGGTTAATTATATTACAGCCATTTAATGGCACCCACGCTTTTAATTTGCTCCTCACAGAAACAAGAGATAAGCTACACAAGTATTACAGCAACTCACCTTTAGGAGCATCTTTCTGATCAAGATGAATTCTGTACCCTTTGAGTGCACTCATAAGAAAGTTGTACGACTGAAAATAATATAAGTTGGATATCAGTATTTACTATTATGAAAAATTTTACAATGTTTATTTTACAATAACAGAGCTATATTTTGCACTCTGATTGGTCGACAGCCACGGTCGATGAGAGCAGACCATGGAAATAACATGATTGCACCACTGGTAATAATCATCTCTGTGCTGTGTTTGGATGTACAGTTGTAATAATGATTGCCTTTTTCCCGAGAAATACACAGTGAAAGACCATATTTCTAATACTAAACTAGAAAAAGGTGATCATTATTACATCCAAACACAGCACAAAGATCTTTTTTCCCATTACAATCTTATCCCAAAAAGCGCTCAAAACACAAATGAAATGTGCTTATACCCCCTGGGCATCCTATAATACTCCTTAAATCGAATTAATACAATATGGCTGTCGTATCAGTAAAAAGGTCTATTGCCACCTCTCCACAATGGCTACCTCTCTACCAAAGCCATTTTTTTAGGTGGACAGTCCATACATTCACTCTTGTTTCAACCTCTCTACTACAGCCACCTCACTACAATGGCCATTTTCTTCTGTCCCCAAGGTGGGTGTTGTAGAGTCAGGTTCAACTGTAATTCTAAATCTTCACAAAATAACTCCCATGTAAACATGAGATAAATAAAAGGAATTAATATTATGAATGGTCCTTGCAGCTACGTTTGCAACATACTGCTGACAATGTGAACAGTTGAAGAAAACAAACAAACAACAACAACAACAAAAAAGATTTCCCACAATTAACAAACTATTCACATGAGATAATATAGCAAAACTTCATTAACAACATCATGACTGTCAGAGTGTACAAGAAATTAATAAGTCTAACGGAAAAAGAAAAATTCAAAATCTTACCAAAAGCCACAGAGGATTGGGTAGCTGCTGTGAGGCACACTGCATTGCCGCAACTCTAGTGAAAAATCCCGCTTTTCGTTTGAATCCCAGGTCATCATATAACACAGCAGCAGTGCTATATCGCTGGATCTGAAATGGCATCAACAGCAAAATACATGTAATGTTCAATGTTTTAAAAAAAAACTATTATCTAAAAAGCTTGCACTAGATCCTATTAAATGATCCTGACATAATTTCAGATCCTTTGAGAGAGTTCATTTTTAACATTCATATAGAGAGTCTATTTGTGAGGGAAAAGCCTTTAGCTTGCTTAGGAGGGGGGTTAAAAAAGCTGCATTGGTAATGTGGCTAGGACCATTCCTACAGGTTAAAGTCAGTAATGGAAAGTGTATGCAAGCAAAGATTCCACTGTACTCAAATCAAACCCTCACCTTTTCCTGTTCTGTTAATGAGACATTCACTGACAATGAATTCTGCAAAGCTATGCTTGCTTCAATACGCCTCTAAAGATAAGAAAAAGAAAAAATATGAATAGCATTGTGGACACAGCCATAGCTTTTTATTCCTGTCCTTTTTGTTCAGTAGATGAACAGTTAGCCATCAAAGTAAATAATTTTTATAATTTGCCTTAGCTGCTTTGGCCATGTGTAGGTACATGTAAACTGTGAGCTGCTTCTTACCTCATGCCTTAGTCTTCTCATTGCCAATATTAAGAAAACCAGGAGTACCTAGTAGACTACTCCTTAAAGTCTACTCAACCATCATAGGACCTATCTGTGATCAGGTGTGGCACGACATTCCTGCCTGCCTTTCAAAACTCATATCTCCAAGCGACCATGTCATGTTCTACTTATTATATATAAACACCAATAAAATACCAAACCATTTCTCTTTAACAGCTTTTTGCTCTGAAAGGCACAATTTATTAAGTAGCCATAGCTATCAGTGATCTTTTCACATGTGGAGATAACATGTTATTGTCACGAGTGAAGATATCCCCATTTTGCACAAAAGCTCACCTGGTATATTTCTTTGGTGTATTATTACATACCTTGTAAACTATTAAAAGTCTAGTAAACTTGAGATTAGCTTCAGTCTCTATAACAGCAGCACCTTTGACCTGTATTACAAGATAAAAATAATACCACAGTCTGTACATATGAATCAAATAATTTTATTACATGTAGTACATGTAAAATGTGAAACAACTGTCACAACATCTTTATCTCAGTTGGTATAACACTGATCTGGGCCAGAAAGGGCCAGGTTCAAACCCTGGCCAAGCCACCGATCACAGTTTTCATAAAAATGAAACAAAAATTAACCCTTTAAGTCCCAATATCAACATACAAATTCTCCAAACTGATCTCCATACATTTCCTTTAAGAATCAGTGGAGAGAATTTAATAACAGATCAAGGTATTGTCTCTTTGGTGATCATTTGTTAATTGTCATAACTGTATCTCTTGACAACTACTGGATTATTGTTAGGAGAAAATTGATGTTGGTCACTCTCGGGACTTAAAGGGCTAAAGAGCTCAAGGCAAGATCATGCTGGCTGGATTTAAGATCATGCCTCAGTTAAAATGATCATATCTCTGGGCTGTGGCATTTAAAGCCACCAGCCTTGTTGGATATAAAAAAACTATACCACCATCTGAACCTAAATGTAAGTTGTCACTTCCCACTTATCACATATATCAAAGTTATGTAAGCTCATGAATGGACCAACAGCAGTTTGCTAAGCTCATTGTTCATAATTATATGCATATAATAAATTACCCTTACCATTACCATTACCATATATTGAGTTAAGTTAATGTATCTTACATTATCTGAAAAAATTTGCTTTGTAAAATGATTAAGATAAAACCAAAAGTTGAACAGGAAATTGAAATAAGAGTACTTTCTATTCCAATGCATGACTCTCAAAACTCATTACAATCATTGAAAATGTTACTCACTCTGCTATAAAGTTTCAAAGCTTCAGACAACCTTTCAACAATCTCTTCTTTACTTAACAGCATAGGATTTCTAAACTTTGATTCATCAACATCATTGCCTAGTCCATTAAGAGTCAAATTTGTGGAGTTTGCTGCACATTCAGTAGGCAGAATCAATGAGTTAATGCCTCTTTCTTCCTCTCTGTCTAGCACTAGAGACGCAGCACACTGGCCTTCTAAAGACCCAGCGAGCCAAAGTACATCATTAGCAGCTCTTAGATGTTCCCCAGCTATTAGGTATTGACTGAGGGCATCTTGAGGTAACCCTGCCAGCATGCACAAATCTCCAGTATACTTTTTAGATCTGCCAATGGTTTTCCGCTTGGTTGCTCTATATAGAGATAAAAAAGATGGTGTTTGATATGGTTGAACTTCCTGTAAGCGACAACCCAAAATGCGAAGTGTTAGTAGTTACTTATGGAAGGTGGTCCCTTAAGAGTGTACAATAGCGAACACAAAGATCAGAAGATTATATCAGCAGTGCTTGACACTAACGCTAGTCCACTGGGCCAGGACTAGTAAAACTCAATCAATCTCAATGGACAATGTCTTGTCTTTTTAAAGTTATTTGTCAAAGAAAATCACTAGTGTCCATAAACTGACCGGCACTGATCATTAAAAAGGGTGGACATTTTTTGAGGTTCCAACTATAAGGCTTTGATGTACAATTATAACTTAAACTCTCAAGAAAAAGATACACTTCATACAATGAATTGGGTTGAGATGGCAATCTGAAATTTTGTTTCCCCTGATTTCACATTCCAAATTACATTACAGTTTTTTTAAACCTTCTTTAAACACAGCGAAAGTGTACAATCTTATTTGAATATTTTCAATAATATTGAAAGACATTACTATGTAACCCAGGGTGGTAACTAAGTGAACAAAACAAATCTTGGTGATTGACAAAGTTTTGGACTAACATTTTCTCTTTCATGTAAAGTGTTATGGTCCAATAGAAACACACCAAGGAGATAGAGGAAAATGGTAAGATACCTGTTCTAGACTGTTTGGTCAATTGCGACAACAACAGACTACGGACGACTATTTACACAAAATCGCCACATACCGACCAATAAATAGACTGGTCATCATACAAGCAGACCTCTCACAAGGCTACAACCATACAGACTTTAACAAGACAAGCGCAACTGGTTTGTGACTTACCTGACAGCCTACAAGACGAGACCGACTATCTAAACAACATTTTTAGCAAAAACAACTACAACGCGGACTTTGTTAGACAGAAAACTCACAGTGACACTGATTCCAACACTCAGACCAACGTCAACTCTGACCGTGTTACGACAGTGACTATACTGTACATCAGAGGCACCTAAAACTATTGCACGTATACTACAACCTTACAATATACATGTTGCACACAAGCCGATAACCACTTTACAACGACTACTTATTAATGTCAAGGGCAAAGACAAACCGGAGGACAGACAGGGAGAAGTATATAAGATCAAATGCTGCGACTGCCAGCCTACTTACATTGGTAAAACTGGCAGAAACCTTAGCATGCGACTGAATGAACACAAACAAGCAATGAGAAATGGTGACGCCAACAATCACAATTGCTTCACCCCATTTACAGACGAAACATGAAATCGACTGGAGCTCTGCGACATGTATTCCGTATTCTACAGACTACTATCAATGACTCACTTAAGACAGCTGGTTTGCTAACTTAGAACAGACGCCACTGAATCGCAGTCAACAGTTACTGGCACCATACAAATGACTTCTTGCTGAAATCAAGCAAAACTAGGCACGAGAGGACGAGAGGACGACTGGACAACTGACAATTTGACTAATAATAGATGACTGTTTGACTGTGACAATAGAAGAATCACAAGACGCACAAATTACATTACGAGTCTCCATAGTCAATAACATCACCGCTGAACTAACAGACGATCAATACCATCACAACGTAATTGACCAGTCAGGTCAATAACCAGAGTATAATACCATTAACTGGTACAACTCACTTTGACTCTGAAGTTGACTACTGCACAGGTCATCGAAACGTCAGTCACTGTCAACAACAACAGTCATATTCAAGACTACATTCACCCTGATGATCAAAATCAGCCTACTTTTAAAATGACTCCTGAGTTCAAACTTTTCACAGAAACACATTAATTACTTTATGACACAAGTGTGCTGGAGCAGAAACACTTTTCTTTTGTTTTTTTTTTTTAACTAAAGTCCCACCTCTGAACAAAAACAAACAAAATCAAACAATGACATTCAATTTGCCAGTGGTTGAGAAGTCAACCCCTTCCACCAACCACCCTCCCCGCTTCCTCCAGAAAATTATTAACATTCTGTTTTGTTCAACGCATGAACAGCACTAAATCATTGTCCAATTTAGTTTAATTTTGTGTAGTCCTCAGTTTGTTTGCTAACACCCAAGGTTTTATATGCAAACTTACCTATTGTCATTCTCTCCGCCAAAGCTCTCTTGTTCCACAGGGGCTTGTATAAGAAGAATCTTATCTACCTTCTCAGATAATTTACTAAGCCTTTTAGACTCCAAAACGTTAAACAGAGAGGCTACAAAGTCTGCTAAATTATTCTGCAAATCCTGGCAGTGATCTTCGCCCCTGATGAGGGCAAAATCCTTCCTGATTTTGACATCACCACCAGATTTACACCCAAATACGAAGCATCGTGTGTTCAGTAAAATGGCACTAAAAGGATTCTTAATCTCATTGACAGGTTTTTCCAACTTTTCCACTTCGTTGATTTCTGAACATTTCCCTACACAGATGAGTCCCAACACTCGCTTGTGAAAATGAAAATTTCCCCACTCAATAAACTGTGGAGTCACCCTTTTGGAATACCTCAAGTGAAGTGTCCTTGTTGTGTTGGGTACCTGCGCACGTCGGTACTGTGAAATTTCCTCGTAAAATGCCCTAAATTGCTTGTCTCCTATATATCCAACTGGTTGTACAAGTATCAAGACCCCACAATGGTCCAACAAGCTTTGGCCAAAGTCTACTCTCAGCATACTAAAGAAACGTAGACTGGCGCCATATTTCGATTTGATCCAAGACTCTCAGTTCGTGTCCGCCATATTTTCAACTAGGCTTCCGACACCAGTGCGCATAAATATCAAAAATGCACCGCCGACAAGTTTTTACAGTGGGCTCATAGTGAAAGTGGAATCCTTCCTTTCTGCCTTACTCCTATCGGGACTTCGGGCATTGCGCTACAAAACAATTGCTGGTTAAACATTTCTATTCCTGACGGACGAGGTGGCAGGGGGACTATGGGGGTATTCAAAAATTTTTCAACGGCTTTAACCCACCAATACCCCTCGCAAAAGGTCACAAGCAGCGACTTGATGTCAAATAAGGAAGACTCCAGTATGGCAAACCATCCAGAAGCTGTGTTCAATGAAGATGTGATGATGATAATGAGTTACATCTGGGGGACAAAAAAACCTAAACCACGCCCAGATTTGTCTCCTTTGGGCCCGGCCAGGTTTCAATTTCCTGACGAGCGTTCCCGTCCCTTAACAAACAGTAACCACAAGGTGGCATATTTTTCAACACCAATGCCAAGTGAGCTTTCGCGCGAAAACTTGATATCTTCACATGTGAAAATATCACCATTGCTGTGGCTTCATAATAAACCGCACCATTCAGACCAAAAAACTTTTTAAGTAAACTGGTTTGGCATTTCAGTGGTGTTTATATAATAAATAGAATATTACATGGTCGCATGGACATACGAATTTTCTCTTATCGTGTTGAAAAAGATATTTCACTCGTTCGCTGCGCTCACTCGCGAAATATTTTTCAACACTCCAAGAGAAATTTCGTATCTCCGCGCGGCCATGTAATATCCTCTATTCATTTCGAATCTTTTTAAAAACTATTCCATGCACTGACCAATAAAATTCAAATGCATATCTAAAGAGCCTGCGCGGTCGACACCCGAACTAGTCAACATGGCGTCTTCAATGATCGGAAGGCCAAAAATGGGACTCCTTTTTCACAGCTTTGCCGCAGGTCTTTATGCTGTTACTTTTTACCACGAATTAATGTTGAATTTACCAAATCGTGCTACTTATGGCGGCAGATGGAAGTTTTTAACGATATTAAATTTGGTAAGATTAGTGTTAATTAAGCTTACATAACCAAGTGTCGTGTTTAAAAAAAACATTCCATGATCTCATGTGAGCTTAGGCCTTTTAACGTTGGAGGCCTGGACTCCGGCCGGCTGGTTACGAAATCTCAACATGGTGGCCTATCGAGGACTGTTTCATTTTGGATGTGGATTTTTTTACATTTACGGAACCTATTATGATCTGCAAATTGTGACAGCACATTCGCAGAGTTATGGAGGCCGATTCAAATACCTTACATTTCTGAATTTGGTAAGAATCGAACGTACTGGGAATGCTCACCTGCTCTGCAAAGTGACTTACATGTATTAAGTCAACTTCAAATACTCAGGCCATACGTCTTGTTGATACTTAACACTAAAAGCGTATTTCCAAGTTATGTCGATTTCGGTTTGCTGTTTACAACATTACTGTTGCATTTTTAAGGCTCTACTATATATAACCTTGTATACAATAAGCTTAAATTTACTGTAACTAAGCCGGATTGTAACAGTTGTAAAAGTTGCATTCAAATAATCCCTGGATTGAATTGTGTTTAACTAAAACATACTGTGACTAAATGTTCATATGCTTAAGCGCACCTCCGAGTGATGTTCTGGTTTGCATACACATGTACATGCAAAAGAATTTACAATTATGTATAATTCATTATTTACCCCCCCCGTCATTATTCACCTCCCTCCCTCACTTCCACCTCTCTCCAGCTACATCCACCACTGTATGACACTGGGGTGGGGGGTGGGCTTCAGGATTTTGTACTATAACCTTTCTGGTTTGTCTAATTAATGATCTGGCTGAACACTTCTCAGGGGCATCCAACAACAATTTGGACACTGCTAGGATTTTTGAACTTCTAATTGCCCATTTTTAATGGATTTTACCCTAAAAAGGTCAGAAAAAATTATTTGTAGGCAGATGAAAAATTTTTAGGGGATAAAAATAAGCCTTTATCTACCGTTTAAATTATGGAATTATGTTTATATTTTAATGGTGATAATGCTTATATTATGGAATTATATATTTTAATGGTGATATTAACCAACCTATGCCATTAACCAACCTATGTTGGAGGCTCCCTCATGGGTGAGACATTTTTTACTATTACTGTGACTGTGTGATGCAGTTATACCATAATGTGTTGCTTGTGATGGACTGCGTGACTGCGTGATGCGGTTCGCAAGTCCAACCCACAAAAATGACCCTTGCTGGTCAACCAGTTCTCAGTAGCTCAGAGGTTAGAGCATCCGATCTAGAGCATGGGGGGTCATGGGTTCAAATCCCATCTGGGGCTCAGATTTTTTCTGTGTCCTCTTATGGTTGATTCTTTACATCTCCCTTTATTTCCTTTTTAATGGTGATATTACTCTTATTATTTTTTGTGTTTTCCTTTAGCTTCTTCAGTTGATCTTCTTTATAATAGCACCGCTGGCAGATGTGTTAACCTTTATAAGAGGGAGAGAAGACAATTGGCTTGTTAGAGTGCGTGACCTTGTGTTTGCGTCATTAGCATTTCCTATTAGTGTGGTAAGTGCATGGGCTGTAAGGGGTTTGTCGTTATCAGTCATCATCTTCTTCATCATCATCATCATCATCATCAGTTTTTTGGATAAAGCGGATAAATTTGATAAAATATACGGCACTCCTTGAAGGGTGGTGTTGGCACAAGGTTGAGGAACAGAGCCCATGATTTTTTATCCTAAGTGGAGACGACCAAAGTTTGTAACCAGCTGTAGATATCAGCACATTCTCATCATTAATTTCAAGACCCTGAGTGTTGATCGGGTCAGGCTGGGGTTTGAACCTGGACCTCCTGCAATTTTAGCAGACCCACAGTGCTTAGCTAGTTGAGATAACCCTTTTTCCATTCATTCTATCGTGGTCATGTTTGGTGTATGCTTCAAAGTTTTGTATCGTTTTGTCTTGTTTCTATCTGGCAAAGCAAAGAAAAGAAAAAATATAATTATATTGAACCATAGTTAATTGAGTGGAATGGTTATGAAACCCATCAGACTCCTTTGTTATATGTTTTTGTGGACCTGAAAAAAAGAAAATTTTGATATTACCAATAAAACGTTGCATTAATTTATTCCGTAACAATTTGCCAACAGAAAACGCACTTTTCTTCCAACATAAACTCACTGTTGTTTATTTTGAATTTTAAATGACTGAACATTGTTGTTATTTTAATTTTAATGCCATGGCACCTGCCTGGGCTCATGCAGAAATAGTGCTGTCCAGTGGTCTGGGAACAATTTATTTTCCTGCTGTGCAAGTCGATTTCATGCTCATTTAATTGCTGAAGCCGTTAGGGCCAGGCAAGTCACCTTCTAACTAAAAATAATTATTTAGCCAAGCATCCAATTGACCCTGTACAAGCAAAATGTAAGATCAAACAACTTTTTGTGAAGTAAACAAGCTCAAATTCAAGTTTTTCAAGCCCTCAGCAGAAATAAGACAATTATTATGTCTCATTTCTGACACCAAAGTCTTGATTCTAATTAATTTCCACTTGAAGACCATGCATATAATTTACTCATTTGTTAACTACATTTCAGTTTGTAGCCACAACATTTTGGGGAATATACATGATAGACAGGGAACTGATTTTTCCTAAAGCACTTGACAAGGTTATTCCTTCTTGGATAAATCATGTTTTGGTAAGCTAAATGGCTGACTAGCTCAAGCCGGTTTTCCATACTATTTGTTGGCCATTTGTTAGAAGCTTTCATTTTGATGAATAGTTTCAATAGTTACAATTCAAAGTCCACAAATGATCACATGCCCAGTTTATGATTTGAAGGTGCATCTAGAACATTTAAAGGTCAGTGTAAGTTGAACCCCAGCATGAATTTTTAATTTTTAGTGAAATGATGAGAAGCAAACCTAGTAGTGCCCTTTAAGAGGTTTCATTTGAATGATCAAATCACAAGATTTAATTGTTCACAGACTAAAAAATAAGAACTACGTGATGAAAACTCACTTGATAGAGCATCATTTAAAAGTCAAGTGTATTGCTATTAATACAGAAATTATTCATTTGAATGAGTGAAATCAAAGCATATCATAATTATATCTCATCCATAGACTTGATCAATAGTTAAAACTTTATACTGATATCATTGATTAATTAATTAATGCCTAAATGTCTCATGCTGGTATAATTCATTATATTAATCAAAATTAATTTTTACTCTTTATACTTGGTTTTCAGCATACCTGGTGTGCAGTCCTTATAATCATAGAGGGTGCCTTTATTAAGCACAAATATCCAAAGAATCGTCTTGGCTTGGGTCTATTGACCTTCGCTTCTGTAGCTTATCTTCTGTGGTTAGTATGTCAGCATTCATCTAAGAAAGATTTCTTGCAATCAAGTTTACCAGAGTTACAAATAACAGCCAGTCATCAGACTATGTCCAATTAAACTTTGCCCATGTACCTGCAGGCAGACAGGATAACCAAACGAAACACTAAGGTTATCATTTTGTAGCTGAAGATTTGCATAGTGCAGTATTAATAGCTTGTCCTTTTTCAAGTGTATAAATCTCTTCTCTAAAGAAATGGCTTTGAGAAATTCAAGTAGTGGTCAGAAGAGACACTGTAGGTTCTTAGGAAGAGTAACATTTTCAGATGGGTGGGGGTGGATAAGTTTCGGAAATAATGCTAGTCAGCTTTTTTGTTTTGTTTTGTTCTGTTCTGTTTTTTGTTCTGGTTTATAATACTGAAGATATTGCATTTTTGTGAAACTGATCCCCTGACAAATTTAATCTTTTGTTCACAAATTTGAAACAAGGGTCTAGCTTTAAGAGAGTTTTCTCCTTATGCTTTGCTCAATTTTTCATCAAAATGATGCCTGACATAACAATTTACACTTGACCCTGGGCGCCGAAAGTAGCAAACCTTATTTTCCTTTTAGAGGCATAGAGTAGTGATAGCTTGGGCATGGTTTCTTTTGCCAACAAATAATCATAAGGTATGTCTAAATCCGACACCCTTTTTTAAACAGGCACGTTCATTACTAATCCGTGGACTGATCTTTTCTTTTTTCAGGATTACCTGGATTGCCTATGTTGCAGAGTTTTGGGTATACCCATTCCTGCGTGCAATGCCCAATAATGGGAGAGTAGTTTTCTTTACTCTGTCCTTCTGTATCATTGTGTTCTTTTATTTTCTGGGCAAGTGGAAGACCATGTTTATCTGGGGAGGTAGGTTGAAAAGACACTAAATAAATGGAACCGTGTGAAATTACTACTGAGGAGATTTCATGTGAATCTTCACACCATAAGAGACAATTAAAAATTAATTTAAATAGTACCAAGTGAAAGTATCTGCTGAAGAAGTTTCAAATCCTCGCGAATTGTCACACCATAGAATTTCATCCACAGACTCAAAAGTTAGCAGTACATTTTAAATATATAGTACCATGTGAAAGTAGTGCAGGAAAGGACTTGTAGACTCAAAAGTTAGAACTACTACTTAACGAATAGTGCAATGTGAAAGTACTGCTGAAGAGAATTCATTTGAATGCATGGTAACACCATAGGATTTCATTCACGGACTCAAAAGTTAGACGTTCATTCCAAGACTTGGTAATTGACTGTCGACTCAAGAATTAAAAAGGATTGACACGTATTTTGTTTTGATTCCAGGAGATAATGACGCAAATTCAACCACAAATAATGGAAAACCTAAAGATGGGGTCAAAAAGAAAGTCAAAAAAGCAGACTAGCATTAATCGTAAACACTTTGATAAGCTCTATGTTTGTTTGTTTGTTTGTTTGTTTTTTTTTTCATTCATCATCTCCTTCTTGTCCTGACTTTTTTTACTTTTGGAACCATGTATAAGATACAATGAAACGTTTCTTTTAGTTGTCAGTTCATTAAGCTTTTAAAGTTAGTTTAATAGACTATATTGATGATGTGAAGTATATATGAAATAATTCATTTCTGAAACTTTTAAACCGCAGTAAATTTTTTTTAATACACTATATTGATTGAACCCGTGAGCTCCGCGTTACCGGTACGGGTTCGAATCCCGAAACCTGATTTTTTGAAATTGCTTAAATTGGTATCATTCTTCACTTTTTATATTGATTGAGCTAGCATATTATGAAACTTGAAAAGCTGGTATCGCTTTTCTCAGAAGGGCCTTCAAAGAGGCTTTTTGTTAAGGGCTTTTGTTTGTTTGTTCTGTTTGATTTTTTCCCCGTTGACTCTGAATAATCGCTTTTTATTCGTATAAAAATCATTCGTATTTTGAAACCGCAGTTTTACAAACCAGAGTGATGACCGTGCGCGGATCATACCTGAAATTACACTGAAAAATTTGGTTATTTATTGTTCCGGATAAAATCACATTTCTTACAACGAAATCCGGTTTTAGATTAGTTCAATTAAATTGCTTTCAAAGGCACTTGAATTCTTTATCCATCACCTGACTCGTCAATTCCGGCTTTTTTACTCAAAAACTTCACCGCTCTTATTCTATTAATTTGTTTTTTATCGCTCTTATTCTATTAGTTTGTCAAATGTTGGTGACAACGTCAGAAAACAATTGATTTTGTAAGCAAAACAACAGCTCTGCACGTGCATCACGCTTTCTAGTACATTTCTTTGATGTCCATTGCAAACCACTGCACGTACGCGACGTGAAATCTCCAGGTGCGACGTTTTATGGAGGACGTGAACATACGACGACGATTTCCCTGTCCCTCTTTGAACCTGGATATTAAGAACTGATACAACTCCTGCATTTGTCAAATTGAAAGGGTCCAAACTGACGCGATAAAGTTCGAAAGAACGTAAATTCATTTTTTTAAGCGACGTTGTCATTGTCGTCGTCACAGGCAACCCAGGCTCTGTGATAGTAGACTGTGAGCAGTCCCTCAGGATGGTCACGCGAGCAAGGAAATCGAGCGAAGCGAGCGAAAAACACGAGAACCCCAGGGGACTCGACTGACTGAAGAGAGACTGCTCGCAGTCTACTGTGAAAGTACCACAGTACGGTTCCAGTAAAATTGCAGTGTTTGTGTGGGGTAAAATACGGTCCTAAAATTTGTAGGAAATACTATAAATAAAAGTCAATGAAACTTACTCTGCCGCAGTTAGTTGTTGTTGTCCTTAATTCTCCAACGAAGTTTAGCGATAAATTGTTCAAATTCACTCTCTATATAGAGGATATTACACGGTGGCGCGAAGATATGAATTTTATTTTCGAGTGGCAAAATTGTTTTTGCCACGAGAAAATAAAAATCATATCTTCAAGCCGCCGTGTAATGTTCTTTCATTATATAGACAAAATGACATCGATAAAATAATAGAGGGAAATTACCAAAATTACGTCATCGATAAACTCACGTGTGAGATTATGGAAAATAAACCACTCGGGTCCCGGATGTAGTTTTTATGAATTTTACGAGTGGTATATTTTCCAGTAAAACACTCGTGTCTATATAATAAACAATAATAATACACAAGGTAGGGAACATAAGATGACATCTTGGCCGGCAGGCTCCCTTTCCAACCTAACTTTTTCCACGAAATTCGAAGTCCAACGAGAAATAAACATGCTAGGATCGTAGAAATAGTATAGCATCAGATATAGAAACCAATGAAGCTTTCCCAGATAGAGAAAAGAATACCGCAGACTTTGACAAACTCCAAGGATACAATCCAAAAAGGCCGAGAAACGATGCGCCGAAGTGACCGGGCCAGATTAACCCGCGGCCAAGCAAGTGAAGCCTGGGCATTGTACAAATCAAATCCATCCCGCGTGTTCTGGGGTGACCTTTCTAGGGACCGATACATATCTTGCCCAAAGTTAGCCTCCCCTGCTGGAAATACATTTGCTCAAAGTCTGCGGGATTCCTTTCTCCATCTGGGAAAGCTTCATTGATTTCTTAGCATGTTTATTTCCCGTTGGAGTTCGAATTTCGTGGAAAAAGGTGATATTACACGGGACGATTCGCAACGACAATTTTTAGCGCAACACAGCGCTGCACCATTGTTGCGACATTAGTGACCTTTGGATACTGAGAATAAGAGTACGACTACGAGTACAAGATTTTCTCAATACTAAGTGGGGCATGTTTTCCCGCCCCACTTTCAAAGCCAGGGAAAAGCGCCCTGGGGAAGAGGTTGTGTGAACAGCGTCAATTTGGCGGGAAAACATAGTTGCCGTCGTTATTCAACTAAGAATTTTGGCAAGCATGTCGTGGTAACTGAAACAAGTTATAAAGTGTCAGAGGTTTCATTATTTTGCGGCTGGGAGATGGCTTAAGCTCCTTCAGTAAAGATAACAGTAAAGATGACAGTGCTAATTGGTGAAAAATAAGTGCAAAGAAGTTTTCCGGGGTTTCTATAATTTCAGAATACGCGAAAAAACTTGAAGTCAAATCTCGTACTCGTAGTCGATCGTTCTCTTCCGTCGAATCTAAAGGTCTCTATTGTTTCGAATGGTTACAGCATTGTTCCAAAAGGTGATGTTATACGAGACGATTCGCAACGACCATTTTTAGCACAACACAGCGTTGCAACATTGTTGCGACATTGTTTTAAATGCTTGCAACATTGTTCCAACATTGCAAAGCGTTGCAAAATTGTTGCGAATCGTCCCGTGTAACATCATTTTCACCAAAGGTGTTCATACTATGTACCGGAACATTGTGTCCAACATTGCAACGCTGCAAAACAGCGTTGCAACATTGTAGCGACATTGTTTTAAATGCTTGCAACAATGTTCCAACATTGCAACGCTGTGTTGCGCTAAAAATGGTCGTTGCGAATCGTCCCGTGTAACATCACCTTAAAGAAGAGAGTCACCAGATAGGTGTTCATACTATGTACCGGATAGCTTTCCGTGTCGGCACGAAAAGCAACGCAACGACGATTTTTAGCGCAAAACAGCGTTGCAACATTGTAGCGACACTTTTTGGAATGACATTGTTCCAGCATTGCAACGCTGTGTTGCGCTAAAGGGCGATTCGCATTGAGCGCAACGCAGCGTTGCAATGTTGGAACAATGTTGTTAGATCTACTACTCAAAACAATGTAGCAACAATGTTGCAACGCTGTGTTTCTCTAAAAATCGTTGTTGCGACTCGTCCCAGGTCACATCACCTTTAAATATGCTGCATCAAATCACGACATATCAAAGAGAGTGGCCAGCTGGGTGCTGTATATTTGTGCTAGGGTGGAATGCGAATTCATTTTGGCCAAGCTATTTTTATGTAGCTTTAGGGAATGTGTTAATATAAGAATGTGTTAATTACCATGTTAACACCAAGAGTCCGGATACGTTCATTAAACGTTCTCAAAATAACAAATCATTGCCTTAATTTTTGTAAAAGAAAGGTCCTTTTGCACTCCATCGAAAACAGACTAAATTGATTTGTAGGAACGAGGAAAATTGAACCTGCTGTCGAATTAAGTTCAGTGAGTGAAAATCTCTTTGTAGTGTTCAGTTTTTTTAGACTGTTGAATTAATTCGACTTTTTAGTAAGTAGGTATAAATTTTGGACACTAATTTGATGGCGTTTCTATTAATTGTTTCTTGAGCCTATCAAAGCAACCGTCATGTTTAGTAATTTTGTAAAGGACCAATGATCTTTATTTAAGTAATGAAATAATTACAAAAGCAATTACCAAAATTTATACAGCGTTTGTATTCTGTTAAGTCTTGCAATATTTTCTTGCAAAACACTTTATTAAAGGCAGACTTAACATGTCAAAGTCGCCTAGAAATGGATGGGTTTTCTTTGTTTTCACGGTAATTCTGAGGGTTCAACCCATTGCGTAATGACAAAAACTGTTCAGTCAAGCATGATTTGCCTGGAATACGGGTCAATTGATGCACGTAATTGAAAATTTAAATTTCTTTGGGAAGATTTCAATTTCTTTGTTCCACACTGATGAAAAGCGACAAAGTCAACTGCGCTCGAGTTAGGCTAAGCGGCGTTTACGTGCATACCGTTTCGTTTGTTTTACAATATAACACTACTGAAGTTTACAGGACGAAAAAGGGCGGAGTTTTCATTTCCTCCTTAATGCTCGCATTATGCATTTGCTCTGCCGCTGTGGCTGGAATATTGTCACTCTTCGCGATGGTGGCAAATGGTGTTTTGATATACGTTATATACAAGGACCCTCTGAACTGTTTTCGCAAGCCGATGACAGTTTTAATCGCTGCATTGGCAATCAACGATTTTTTAACTGGATCAGTTATCGGCACCTTGCATGTTCTGAACGAGATCTCATGCGAGACTGGTGTACAAGGCCCTTCTGCCAAAGGCACCTTTGAGACTGTTATTGGGCTGTTCGCGTTGAACAACACTACATTTCTGGTCATGGGGTTATCAGGAGAGCGTCTTATCGCCGTAACGTACCCGTTCCATTACCGTGCAAGGGCAAGCGGTCGTAAAACTCTAGCGTGTGTGGTATGCATTGTGTTATATTCCTTCGTGTTTTGCCTCCTGCAGGTTATAAACGATATTTCACTGGGAATTTATAATGCGCTGCAGCTTCATCTCAATATGACCTTTCCTCTTGTTGCCGTACTGATTGCAAACTTCGTTCTCCTGCGAGTTTTGCGAGGCTACAGATCTAGACGTCGTGCATGCTCAATGAGTTCGGATGGAAGTGACAGTTATTTTTCCACCAAAGAGAAAATGTTTGAAATTGAAAAACAGTTCGCATCAACGGCTATTCTTATAGTTATCTTTCTCGTTATATCCCACGCGCCATATTACTTAATGACTCTAATTGAAGTCCACTGTTCTGATTGTATTGATGGAGACTGGTTCGTCTTTTGTCAAAGGATTTCTCTTCCTTTTCTGTTTATAAATCCTGCTTGCAATCCATTTATTTATACATTTCGGATCCGTCAATGCCGCCGATCTTTGAAAGTTCTCTTTTTTAAGTGGCAAGAAACTGTCGATGTTTCTCCGAGGCCTTCGCACGTCGTAACAGGTCCGCCCGGACGCAATGCGATCGTGCTACGGAAAATATCGAGAATGTGTTCGACGACTGGTCAATTCGTCGAGGAATTTAAAGAGGAGAACCTTTCAGATTATTTTGACTTAGGGATTGATAACCTGGCTAACATCGACGCCAACTATTATCACGATGTATTTGAGACAAAAGCCGAGGAAAAGCAGCAGGAGCTACAGAATGGCAAAACATTACGGCATAGCACTACAAATGGTACGTGTATGAAGACGAGTGATATTGGTCAAGAAGAAGAGGATAACAACCTTGTATATGACACAAAGTTATAGAGTGATTACTTGCTGGAGTTGAGGAAGTAATGGTCCAATATCAAATACAATAAAATGTACCCGACACAAAAATAAACAGACGAAACTGCACATCGAGGTGCACGAGAGAAGTCTGCTGAAAGTTGCTAATTTTTTTAAAGCCAGTGACCATCTATGGTGTTGCACATACAGCTAGAGCAAAAGTGAATCATTGTCACTAAAAGAACAAGAAGATACAAGTTCTCAAATGCTTTTATTCATCAGTACAGACGTTCTGGGTCAGGAGCTCACAGTATTAACCCCTGCAGACAATCACCAAACTAAAAACAAATGGCTAACATAGAGAGATTTTGGATCAAGTCCAAGGCACTAACAGCAAACATCACGGATTCAAGATGACAACTAAATTGGAATATGAGCCAAAAAACCGTTCAAACAATTCTTGTGGAAGAGTCGAGACTAACATGAAACTACTTATTTTTTTGTAGATATAACGAACTGTGAAGATCAAGTAAGGTCGCGTGGTACAAATTGACGTTTATTTGCTTTTTGCCGTAAACTCAGTTGATTCTCATTCTCGCTAATGTGAATTTGCGCGCATCGATGACGACGAAATGGAGTAAAACAAAAAGTTTGTAAATCACTATTGAACCGAGACTACGACTTCACGATAGTTATACAAATAAACATGATGTATGCATATCCTGTGGTAGAAAAAACGTACAGACTGTTGGAAATAATAAAGGAACATGTATTATTACCAAAATTTCTATTTGTCTTGCCTTCACTTCGCTTTCTGCTGAAACTGTTAATTTTAAGGTTAACTCCTAAATATGCTAAGCAAATATAGAGCTGAAATTCTAGGGAAGCAAGAGTCATTGGCTGATAGTGTTCTTGATCTTGGCGTTTCCTTTGAATACTACTTAGTGGTTGCAATTCAAGGTTTCTTTCCCTGTTAGTCTAGTTGACCTATTTATTGTCGGTTGAACAAAAGTTTTTGCCCTTGAATTCAGTCCGTAATTGTCTTGACACGGGTACCGGATATATTAGGTGGCTTATTGTGCGTGGAAAAAGTTAATCATTGCCCATGCGCGGGTAGGTCATTCTCTTTGTGATCAACAGAGCGATAAATGAATGTAAAACAATTTACTTATTTCAAGGTTTTTTGCTTCGAACCGCAAACTAAGGGATAACTGAAAAAGGCAATGGAGCCTTATGGCACTTAACTTCACATCGGATACGAAGAGACTCATTTGCCTGGCAATTTTGTTGGGAATTTATCTTCTATCCGGCGCTGCAGTCTTCCAAGTTCTTGAAAATGAGAATGATAAATTGGAAGTACAGCAACTGAATTCTGTGAAAAGGTTCTTCTTAAAAAAGCATAACATGACATCAGAGGATTTTGATTTTCTCGTGGAGAGGGTTGAAAGTGCCGTGAAGCACCGCTGTGGGAACGACCCGGATCAATGGTGTACTTCTAGGTGGACATACTACGCTTCAGTGTACTTTACATGGAGTGTTGTGACGACTGTAGGTAAGGTGTTTGCGTCCGAGTGTAAGCCTAACAAAAAGGATTAACTTAGTGCTGTTTCAAACACATCGCTCATTAAACCGGCCTATGTTTTTTTTTTTTTACGTTCGCGTTGCCGTCGCAGTGTCGTGGTTCCGTAAGCGAAAATACTACAGGGAAATTCGGACAGGGAACTCCAACACTTGAGCTTGCTCTGATTAAGTTAAGTTGGCAAGTTCTAGCTGTCGAGCAATTAGAGTGATTGCTTGACTACTAGGCTCGTTGACATCTCTCGTCAGTGGAATGTTGAGCAAACGGTTTCCCTAAAAAATATGCAATTTTGTTTTCTTGCGAGACTCTGATATAAATCTCGTTATCATGACTGTCTAAAAATTCTTGACCCCTCAGTTAATTCCTGGTAGAGAAGGGGTGAAAATTGCGTACTTTTAAAGTAAGGTAACAAACAAAAGGCATAAATATACCAACTAGCGTGTTTCATCTTCTTAAAAAGAAAATGAGAATTAAATTATTTAGTGGCAACATTAGTAACAACCAAAAGCAGCAAAGGACAGTTAATCTTCTTTTAACTGTTGTTACAACGATGCAGGCATTATAAAAATTATGAAAATTATGAAAATTATGAAAATTATATCATATATTGCAACTGCCCAAAAGTGAGAACAGCAATAAATTAGTTCAAACCAATCTCTTTCCTCTCCCTTCGCAGGCTATGGTCACCTGGCTCCCAGTACCGTTGGCGGTCGCGTATTCTGCATGATTTTTGCCTTATTTGGAATACCTCTAAACCTTATGGTGTTACGTCACATTGGAGACCGCGTCAATCAAGTGATTAGTTACATTCATTACTTTGTTGAAACAAAGCTTCTCCATCAGAAACCGGAAGTGGTAGCCACCAAGACTCTGATATGGACATTAGTGGTTCTTATTTTGATGTTGTTTGTCGGCGCTGTTCTTTATTTGCAGGAAGAACAGTGGAACTTTCTAGAAGGAGTGTATTTCTGTTTCATCACATTTTCCACCATTGGATTTGGAGATCTTGTACCCAATGGAGGTGAGGAGTCTATTTTAGGAAGTAGCCCACATGGCAAGTGAACCATAGTGAAAGGGTAGCGGTTAGTTAGTTGGTTTTTATCTGAAAACCCTCACAGTCTGTGCACAGGGGCTAGAAATGAAAACACAAAATATGTATCCGCTCCGAGAAGCCGGGTGGTGTAGGTTGCCATAAAGCAAACTTAATGGAAAGTGTAGACCACCCGTGATCCTCGCGCCTTCCCCATTCCCTTCGGCGAGGTACCACCCTTGCGCTCATTCATTTCTGATTTCTGGCCTCTCTTCGTCCTTTTCATTATATTTGAACTCATTAAAAACTCTACTTCTTTTGATTTCTCGTTAAATTAACTTCCTCGTAACAAAGTAGCATTAAGGATATCCATGTCAGTGGTTCAATAAGGCACCAGGCCCCGACAAGACGTAACAACGTACCAAATGCACATGCGATCTCCTTAAGATATATAAGCCCAAAATGCGAGTCACATTATATGCATTAACCTGTGATTGTTGGAGATTTGACTTGATGACATCACATGTGTCAGTAATTAGGCTGACTTAGCAACAGAACGAAGGCGCAGGCAAATCACACAACTGGCTTGACCAATGGCTGAGCGGCAAATTGGGCACCGGAAGTTGAGTTTACTCCTTTCGCGCGCTTTTTCGTCGTCAAATGACGTTCCCGTGCTGTTGCTAAATCAATCTATGTTAATTCGAAAACGCACGCGTGCGACAAAAAAATTGTAACCTCCTCCAGACTTTCAAAAAGTTTCTCAAACTTATTTGTTATTATCTTTCAGGTCAAGCTCCTACTGATGTTGTAGGTATAATTATGGAACTGCTAAGAGCTGTTGTCGTCTTATTAGGAGTATCAATGTTCTTCTCTATTATTACATCCGTATTAACTGCTTCGGAAGAACTAAGAGTTAATTTTCCATCTGGAAAATGCCTCGATTCCACGGAAAAGGGTTCAGCGGACTTACAAGGAGACATGCGCAGTGAAGAAAAGGCTAAAACGGAAGATCCAGGCGGAAGAATAGATATCGAAGATATCAAAACTGGAAGTGACGAGGCAAGCAAAGAGGAATCGAGTATTTCAAATAAATTAGTAAATGATAGTAAGGAAAGGGTGAATGAACAAGTACAAAAGGATGGAGTTCACCAGGAGCCTGGGACAAACGACAAATTGACCTATCCTGGAGGCGGGTAAAGATAAGTAAACTCCTCCATCACTCCAAGCGCTCGTCTCCGAGACTGCAAATAAGCTCTGAAAGCTGAAAAAAAAAAAGAGAGAAAAAATCGAAAATTGTTTTTGTGACGATTGCAATATTTTGGTCTCTACTTTTATCAATCTCAAAAAGTCTCCTGGAAAATAAAATTCTTGGCTTACAGCCACGTGACAAGGCGGCCATGTTGGTGGTCAATACAATAAACATTTTTTTGTAAAGTTCACTTGAAAATGGAGTTTAGATCCCAAGGTAGAGAAATGCTTTTGTTCTTGGCCAACATGGCTGCCGTGACGTCACGTGCCAACCAGCAATACAACAAGTAAATTACCTATCGTTCACTTGCCGCAAGAAAACAGTACTCAGTGAAACTAACTGGCTGATCTTAAGTGCTTTAAATTTTTTTTTTGTTTTCTCGAGTAATTAGTTGTACTAGGGAAAGAGCATAACGTATGTGATCGTGAAAGTAATGAAAATCGAATCATATCATATTATTAAATCCATATGAACTGATTATCTTTGATTGAAAGAATTTAGCTAACGGTGTTTCCAAATAGGTAAAATAAATTTCAACTTTGTTTCAACTGTTGTCAAGGTTATTTGTATTATTTTTAAGAGGGCAGACTGTCTTGGCAGCGAGCCTAACGAGCCAAATTTTCAAAGGTCACAGAAGGGGTTATAGCCAGGTGGTTATCGAACTTTCCCACGAAGGTTTTTTTTCACTGTTTGCCGTTTCGGTTCCTGCTTGTTGTGAGCTTAAACCATAAATAATAACAGCAACTACAACTACTAAAAAGAGTAACAGCAAATGTTGTTCCCATGCTTCCAGGGGGGGTGGAGGGGGGGCAGTTAAGGGGAACTCCGTATTTCAAGTGAAGATTTTCCATTCCGGGATTTTATGAGCCCACAGTTGTTATCGTGCCAACCGGGTGCCGTAAGTTGTGTCACACGTGATTAAAAAGTTACTGGTTGCTAGGGAAACGCCAGTAAATGCGCGATAAAAAGCGTCCCGGGTGCCGGCAGAGGTTTTTCCCTTTCGTATCACTTTTCTTTTGTAGCGAGATCCCTGCTAGCAGGGAAGCCATGATCTTTTTATTCTACTCTTGCATATTTTAATGCTTGGCTCGAGTATTTACTCTCCATTTTCTGGAATATTGTTTCCTTAGATTTTTTCTGAAGTGAGATTTACACAGGGGATCGTGTTCGGGAGGCTAGAGCTAAGCTTTGTTTGAAGTTCCCATTTGAGTTTGACAACCAGCTTTTTAGTCTCAGTTCCGAGAGTTGGTTTGAAGCTTCTTGCCGATCACAGCAGTGCATGTCTGGTGGAACAGATCTTTCATTTATACTTGATTTATTTATTTTATTTCATTTTGCGGTTCTTTCTTTTTTTCAATTTTATTTTGTTGATATCCACAATTGCATTACCGGCTCACAGAGAGTTTGCCTTGTTTTACACGTTGAGGTAAGAACATCACCAAGTTTAGCTATTTAAACCACTTATTTTCGGCTTGTTAGTTAGTTGGAGTTTAGAAGAGAGTAGAATGAATTAGCTGTTCGCAGTAGAAGTCGAAGAAGACTTAAGAAGTGAGGACAAAGGCGTAAAAGAAGATTCTTGGTACCTTCGCGCCTAACTAGCGTGTCTGGCTATTAGCTGAAAATCTTCAAAGGAAAACATAAGGTGTCAGAGCCCTTCACAAAACGTCGCCGAATATAACGCGACTCTTAATTTTTCTAATTGACCACCTGTTAGGAATGACGGGTACTTGGAAAAGCCTGCTCAGCCCAGATATGTTCCTGCTCTTTAACATGCAAACGGATAACGGTTTTATAAAACTTAAAAGTTTATAAGTTAATTTCAACATAATAAAAGTCCGAAGTTTCCAGACTTGTTTAATGTATACTTCAGTGTGGGTGATCATGGATTATAAAACGCTGAAACCTGACTGTGAAAAGGTTACAAATGTTTAATTGAAGATGTCAGATGGGCACTTGTTAGTTTTAAATGGCTACTGATGCTGTGAAGTTGTTGATTCAGTAAATTGAATTCCAAATGGCATCCTATTTTATGCCTGCTAACACGCCTGAGATTTTAGAAATTGAATTGTATCCGAGCAGTCACCGAAAGTTCTATTGTTTTTGCACACCTCCCTTGAAGAGAATTTCGTCAGATTAAGAATCACGTCACTTAGTTAAAAAGGAGACTCTTGACCTGATGAATAAGAGGTTAGCACGGAAACGGAAATGCCGTTAATTGTTGTGGTTGGACAACCACTGTGTTGAAAGCTTTGTATTCTATGTTAAGAGGAAAAACAAATTTTGAAAATGAACGAATATTCAGATTTTTTGGAACGGAGATAATATTGGATCAGAAAATGTCAAGCAATGTTCGTGTGTTTGGTGTTTCGCCTGGTGTGCTTGTTATGGGCTGTGATTTCGCGCAGTGTTTCTGGTAGGACATACACCAGCTTTTTAGAACCTAGATACGAGGGAGCGAACTACCAAAGGAATGCACTTTTCTCCGGTCTTCTCAACGCAAATAACCTCTGGTTTCGGAAAGCAAATCCGATGGCATCATCTTATACCAGGGCAAGACAAGAATGGACAAGCGGCAAACGGGTAAGTTTTGTTAACATAAGGGTGTTAAAATTCGTTTTGTAATGTTTTCAGTCGACAGAAAATATGGTAAGAAAAGGAAATACAAGGAAAATTTGAATTATTATCAGAGACCAAAGAAACCTTTCTTTGCTGGAAGGGATTTCCATGATGCAGTGACTACTAAAAGGCTCAGCGGGAAATCTTGTTTTCGCGCCAAATCCTGATCCTGTTTACATTTTAACTTGCATAAATTATAACAAATTAAATCTAAAAAGTCAATTTAGACAATAACTTAAAGGAACTGGTCGGAAAGCTTGCAACAAAGACATGCTCTCTCTCTGCGCAACAGATCGCTCAATGTAACGGAATCCGGATTGCTGAATCCAGAGAGTATTCGGCCCCTGGAATCCGAAATTGGAGTAATTTTGGTTGTGGAATTCCGACTTCTAAACTTTTAAATCCGGAATACAGCTCCGAAAATCCGGAATCCAAGTTCCATTGACGAAAATTCAGGAATCCAGTAAGTGGAATCTGGAATTCATTGCGTGGAATGCAGAATCCAAGATTGTCTTGGACTCTCTTATGTGGGGCGAAACAGCGGATAAACCACCAAACTTGGGCCATTTCGGAAGCCTGTTTGGCAGAATAAAAAGTAAAGTGAGAGGATTAATGACTGATTTTCTCGCCAATATAACTGATATTTTACATGAAAATTTTCGCACTTTGATTCAATTGTTTTGAAAGTTACTGCCATTGGATTACGGTTTGCAAAGACTCCACAATTTAGACCCCATTTAGTATCCGGCACGGTCGGTGGGCTCTTCTGCCATGAGCACGCTGACTTGAACGGCTATGAAAAGGTGTTTTATGCCCCTATACTAAGCGCTTCCCTCTGTTATTTTACTGCTCAGTATATGAAATGATGACTGATCGTCGACCACTGACAAATTGGAAAAAAGAAAAAAAGAAAAATAGTACACGTGACTTTGCCACTGCAGCAGACACATTCTTTAATTGCAAGAGGGCAGATGTCTAACAGAAACCAATCAACTAATTCGTTATAAAAAAGAAAAGAAACAAAAAATAAAAATAAAAATGAAAAGTGAAATTGGTAAACACAAGCCTGGTCGTCTTTTGTGCAAAGGTTGGTAGATGCGGGAGTCTACTGCGAGTACTTTAACACTTTACTAACTGGAGAGTTTCCTCCCTTAACTTGTATCCTAAGACAAAAAACATTGAGCCAGTAAGAGAAATCATGTACAAAATGTTTAAAAATTGTGCTATTTTGTGGTTGAAGCGACAGGACCTTTATAATGGCTCGGATTATGACTGGAATAGTTTTCCATGGATGGAAGAAACCTCATCATGGCCCCAGGATTACAGTTCTTGGCCCCAGCAGGCTCCAACACAGGCATCACTTCAACAAGGACCGCAGGCGATACAAAGTTCTCAAATACAAGCCCCAGCAGTTGAGGCACCATATCCGGTCCCATCTCAGGTACCTACTCGGTTTGTTGGACAGTTTAACACACCTCGAGCGTGGCCTCACGGAAGGTACACTGGAAGTGCATTTCCAACGACAAAGTCGCAAACATGGCGTGATCCAGTAAAATCGGGACAAAATGCGCGGTAAATAATCTTTATGTTGTGCTGAAAGAAGTGAACAAGTCTGTATAAAAGAAGGGTACATGCTTCGAATGGTCACTGAAGCCCCTTGGCCGATACGGGCCTTTTGGCCATTTTGGCTCTTGAATTAATGCGAATTTGACATGGCTTTGGAATTTGTACCATGAGTAACTAACTTTACTATACTTTTAAGGATTCATATCAGCCGCAGTTTACCTTAAATTAAAACCTCCACTCTAGATTTCCCCTCCTTCAAGAAAATAATGAAACTGATGGGCAGGCCTCATTGTACAACTTCTCTTTGACTTACTCGGATTAGTTATCTATGGAATCTATCCATTGTTGTAGATTAACACCACAATGCCTTCTTTCTTAAGGCCCTACCCTGCAAGACCAGCAGACATACTTTTAGAAGTACACAATGCCACGCGAGTATGCAGTCCCGGGCCTCCTTTGGGCGTGAATCCGTTGGTGCGAAACTGTCTTATAATTGGGGACTCAATCTCACTGGGGTAAATAACGAGTGATATAGAATTTCTATGGGTCGCTGTCGTACTAAAAGTAAAATATTGCATTGTTAAAGCTGTGTTCCTTGTTCTACTGGGTAGAACAACAGATCGTCTAGCTAGATTCAGAGTAAGAGAACAACAGATGGACTTGAAATCTGTGCTCCCATATTTCTCACAGCGAAAGTATTTCTTAAAGAAAATCCTTAATATGCTTAGCTCAACTAGGACAAAGTCCACTTTTCTAATTCATTGAG